TATGTATCATCCAAGAAAGAAAGTCGATAAATACAATATGTGTCATCTAAGAAAGAAACTCAGTAAATACAATATGTATCATCCAAGGAAAGAAACTCAGTAAATACAATATGTATCATCCAAGAAAGAAACTCAGTAAATACAATATGTATCATCTAAGAAAGAAAGTCGATAAATACAATATGTGTCATCTAAGAAAGAAACTCAGTAAATACAATATGTATCATCCAGGAAAGAAACTCAGTAAATACAATATGTATCATCCAAGAAAGAAACTCGATAAATACAATATGTATCATCCAAGAAAGAAACTCGTTAAATACAATATGTATCATCCAAGAAAGAAACTCAGTAAATACAATATGTATCATCCAAGAAAGAAACTCAGTAAATACATTATGTATCATCCCCTGTTAAACTGTTTACTTCATCTCACCTAGTAGTTCGTAGGAAAAGCCAACTTTGGTACTTTTGTTTGTTGTTTCTATTATATATCATTTTAAGAGAAAGGAATGTGACTGTATCCGTTTTCAATAATGTTTGAGATATTATCGTTTTTTACGCATGTTAAACATAAAGTCATTGGTGACTAAAGAACTAGTGCTATAACAGTCTTAAGGTGACACTAAGTTGTTAATCTTAAAGAACTAGTGCTATAACAGTGTTAAGGTGACACTAAGTTGTTAATCTTAAAGAACTAGTGCTATAACAGTCTTAAGGTGACACTAGTGCTATAACAGTCTTAAGGTGACACTAAGTTATTAATCTTAAAGAACTAGTGCTATAACAGTCTTAAGGTGACGTTGTTAATCTTAAAGAACTAGTGCTATAACAGTCTTAAGGTGACACTAAGTTGTTAATCTTAAAGAACTAGTGCTATAACAGTCTTAAGGTGACACTAAGTTGTTAATCTTAAAGAACTAGTGCTAGTCACCTTAAGACTGTTAACTAAGTTGTTTGGTGACTAAAGAACTAGTGCTATAACAGTCTTAAGATGACACTAAGCTGTTAATCTTAAAGAACTAGTGCTATAACAGTCTTAAGGTAACACTAAGTTGTTAATCTTAAAGAACTAGTGCTATAACAGTCTTAAGGTGACACTAAGTTGTTTGGTGACTAAAGAACTAGTGCTATAACAGTCTTAAGGTGACACTAAGCTGTTTTTACATAAATAAGTAAACATAATTCACTGGTAGTTCACCATATACTTATTGTTGGATTTCGGATATTTGTAGCAGAAGAAAGAGAGGCCTTTTTCTTCATAAATTAATGAAATATTTCAAAAACGTTGGAAATATCCCACCAGTAGATCTATGCGCCATCTACAGTCGTTCTATGAAGACTACTTTTATTTAGCTGAGATGAAATTATGTTTATTTCAACGAGTTTTATACAAAGTTCGTTTACTTTCAAATCTTTTGATTATTGTAGGACAGCAACAGATTGCAAGATTTAGTTAACCCTAATACTGAGAACATCAGTTGTAAGTGCGTTTCATGGGCCTACTTTTTATATTAAAGTATCGTTTTTATTTTGAAATTTTTATATAACTGTTTTCATATTCGTTTGTGAATTCCATACTAAATATTTTGTTGATTAATTGTCATAGTTATAATAAATAGGTTAAGCTTTTTAAAACAATGAAAAAGAGCTTTTACTACAGCGAAATCAAGTTATATAATTTATTTTCGGTTATATTTCCAGATATTTCACGTTTCCGGAACCTAGGTGGCACTTTCAGAATTGTTTAGTTTTCCATTGGTTTTTAACGCAAAACATCGACTTGCACAGTACATAAGAAGAATCACACATCATTTACGAATTAATTTACATGAAACCGAATATTTCCGTTGATTTCTGGTATGTCATTTATATTTACTGGATCCTTGGTCATCTTATTAACACATCTTAATCTTCAGTTAAAAGTATTAAGTTAAAGAATATCAAAAGTTTAAACAAATTTCTTTACAA